GCATATTCTATTTTTTTTTTTTTTTTAGATTTATTTATTTATTTTAAGTATATGAGTACACTGTAGCTGTCTTCAGACACACCAGAAGAGGGCATCCAATCTCATTATGGGTGGTTGTGAGCCACCATGTGGTTGCTGGGATTTGAACTCATGACCTCTGGAAGAGCAGTCAGTGCTCTTAACCGCTGAGCCATCTCTCCAGCCCCCTCCTCAGCATATTCTAGATTTTAGTTATTGCAGAATTTTTTTTTTTTTTTGGTCTCAACAGTTGCTAAATGGAACATTTTGAAATTGATTGAAAATAGAAATCTCTCTATTTAAGATCTCATTTCATGAAGAATAAGATTCCTTTAAAATGCAGACTAACTTAAAGAATTCCCTATTTTGAACAACCATACTGATCCCAAAGCCAAGCTTTTGTTTACAATTAGGGCAAGAGAAGGGGAGAGGAGGGCCACTCAGAAAGAGCCTTGATCAGTCTTGGGGGGACTTGGGGTATGCTGGGGAGTGGAGTCATTCAGTAAGAGCCAATCAGCCTAAGGAGAACAGAAGTGATGCTTCAAAAACAAAGTAATCAAATCTAAAAACTCAGGAAGGGCTTTCCCCAAAGGACTCTTCTGGCAGCATGTTGAAGAGGGGTTATAAAAGCAATAAGTTCACAACCCAAACAATGAGTTAAGCAAACTTTAGGGAAGGATTTCCTCTCAGAGCTGAGATGAGGCATACCTTTAGCCCCCTGCTGCCAGAAGAACCCAGCCGGACCCAGCATGGCACAGAAACCATGGCTGTTATACACACCATCACCTGTGTGGAGGAGAGGGCGAGGCTTAAACCCCATCAGGATACAGCTGCTGCTCTTCTGAAAAGATGCTTCATCGTCCTAGGAACGGCTGCTGCTGAAAAGTGGAAGGGTGTGATTACATCCGGACATACAGAAGTGCTTAAGGGAGGCTCTCATGGTCGGTCGATCAGTTCCTTCTGAGACCAGTGAGTGAGAGAAACCTTAGCAGGTTGTTGGTGTGTGTGTGTGTGTGTGTGTATTTCCTAATCAATTGAATCTAGTTTATTTTACTACCTCTTTAAGTTAGGAAAATAGCTGCATGTACTTTTATTTTATATGTGATTGGTAGACCAAAGGGGGGAGAGAGAGAGAGAGAGAGAGAGAGAGAGAGAGAGAGAGAGAGAGAGAGAGAGAGAGAGAGAGGAGATTATATTCTTGATCAGCAGTTTGAAGTTTTGATTGCCAGGAAAAACACAGTAACTACAGTGATTCCCTGCTCCCCCAACCCCCCGACCTTTTGATGGATCTAGGGTAAGAAGCAGATTTTTGTACCCATGATTTTTTTGTCATGTAAGGTCAAAGGTCAACAGTGTGATGCATGTTATCATGAGCTTCAGTGAGTTGATCAGTTAGAGTTTCTATCCACATTTGGCTTATAAAGTACATGGATCTGCACCTTACACTGAGGAGACAGTTACCAAACTGCGCAGGTGGTGGTTGTTAGGAATGGTGCTTAATTTTTTTTTATAGAACTAACATACTCATTGTCAATTATGTGAAGAAAAGATAGAAACATGTTTTCTTTAAGCATTTATGTTAATACTGGGTGTTTTTGAAAAGCATTAAATAAGAGAAATGCTGAAGTTAAACAATAGTATGATTTTACTCAGAATTCTGTTCCATCTGATATGATTGAAGTCTGAATTCTGGTTTTAATTTTTACAGAGAAATCCCCGAGTGCTGTGTATGTTACAGTAGTGGTCAAAGAATCTTAGGTGATGGTCAGGAGATGTGCGGTGGAGAGGGGAGTGCTGTTTCCCTGAACATCTGTCCTGTTGGTCACTATTCCATGTTAGCAGAGAGTGAGAGGAGGCTGGGGTGACATACAATGCTGTTGAGAGAATGAGGGGTGCTTTCTATCCAAGGCAAACATCTGTAGGGGAGAGAGATGACATTATGGGAAGGCCACTTGTGTGCAACATGGCAGGAGAAATGCAGGGGAAATTGTGCGTGCGTGCGTGCGTGCGTGCGTGTGTGCGTGTCTATGTTGGGTGGAGGGAGGGAGGGGAGAAGGAGGGGCAGAGACAGTAATCATAGCAGTAATACTGATATTAAGGATACTATATTTTTGACAAAGATGGTACTTTTGGCAGTAACATGGCAGTGGGTGATTTTTGTCGTGTGCTGCTCGTGGGTCTCCTCTGTTCTGTACCAGTCTCACCATCTGTGTGGTGAGTGATGTTAGTGGTGAGGCTGGAGTGAGATTCTGTTGCTTCCTTCTTCAAGTCACCTGACCCATAGACGACATTATCTTTATGGTTCTCTAACCTGAGCTGTGTGCACACAGAAGTCAAGCCCACAGATGTTTACTGAGTGCCTCTTGTGGGCCTAGATTCTCGCTCACTTCCAAAATCACCTGAGATCATGTTAAAGGTAACCGCATGACCAGGCATAATGGATCAAGCCTGTAGTATGCGCATCAAGGAGGTAGAGGTAGGAGGATCATTGCAAGTTTGAGGCTAGCCTGGGTTACGTAGTTAGAGGCTAGCCATCACTACACAGTGAAATCTTGTCTAAAAGTATAAATGAACAGCCCAGTGGGCTTTATCAAGGAATCGTCCATGTGGTCTTATTTAGGTTGAATTAATGAGCTGTGGAACTTATAAGAATAGTTATAAATCAGGTCATGTGCCAGGGTTAAAGTTCACTGTGAAGTCCCTGTCCCTGCCTTTTAATAAATAAATAGTGGAAGAAAGACTTGGCAAAAGGAAGAAACAATCCTGCATGTCCACATTTTCTCAAAGTGTCTCCTGTTAACAAGTCAGTGAGTGTTTACTCAGCCTTCACCACTGCTAGGTCTGTCTGTAGCCTTAACTAGGATAGTTCAAATAAACCAAAAGGATTTGCATACAACTGACCCCTCTGTCAGTACATCTGCTCCCACTTCTTAAAGGGGTCACCAGGAAAAGACATGGAAAGGATGTCGGAGATGGAGATCAGCCTGCATTTGTAAGCTTTCCAGTCTGAGGCACAGATGAGCAGATTCCGAGCCACTTACTCAGAGACTCATGGCTTTGCTTGCTTTCACTGCCCAGTTCTGTCCATGGTGAATATGACCTTTCTTTGCGTAGACGACTATGCTCATAAACTGCTCATCGGGGAGGTATTGCAACTATAGCCAGTCCTTCTGTTACATTGTATTTCTATAGAGTCTATCTCCAGCCCTGGCCAACCAGGAACATAGGGCAGGATCTACAGAGCTTCCTGATAACCATGCCCTGCGTAATGCCTAGCACAGAGGAAGGGCTTAGTACACTTCTGCTGATTTTTTTTTTTTTAAATTAGGCACAGAGTGAATAAGTGAGTGTAAGAACAAACGGGATAGTTAGAACGTACTTAGTTCAGTGTCAGTTTTTGTTAAATATGATTGCACAGATGGAAATTTCATTATATTGAAGTAGTCCTTTTATTCTAAGGCACCTGTTAGAATGCTTTCTTCTGGAAAGTAGAATTTTACAACATTGACTATGCTTGGTTTTAAGGAGGATACACCATGTCTTCTATGTTACGTAGAAGAGTGAGAGCAAAGAAGAGAGATGTCCAGGATTTAGAGGGAGTTCACCATCTCTAGAGGATACATTATTAAACAGACTCATTTTATTTGTATCTTCTCATTGTCCATCTCTCCCACTAGAATGTAAGGTTTAAACTTACGTCTTTTATTTCTATGTTTGTAATAAAAATTATCCCATGTCTAGCACATAGGATGGTATCTACCATATAATGAATATTGAAAAACATTTGCTTCGTGAATGAACGATTTTGATACGTATTTCTAAATTGTCTCCCAGAAGAACTCACTGGTCCTATCCAACCATCATCTATGTGGTGGTTCGTCTCCGTGTCCTTGTCAGTCCTGGGATTTATGAACTTCTTAAAAGTTTTCCAAATGTACTCTACTGTCTCTCGCTTATAAAACATCAATAAATCAGATCTGAGAAAGCGCCTTTCCCTCGGGTGACATCTGTCAGAGCCATTCACCTGTCTGTAGCCAGTTTCTCCCAGTTTCCTGCTGCATGGCAGAATTTGGGAAGTGTCTGTCCTCCCTTTGTCTCCTGCTCTCTACGTACCCTCCATCCCCATTAAGTTAGTCTCTCTCTGCGGAACCCGTCTTGTCAACATTACCTGCCTCCTACATCGAACCCTTTGGATAGCAGCTAAGTTACTCTGCTGACTACTAGCGAGAGCTTTCTCCTGGGTCTGTCCCGTCCATTCCTTCTTTCTTTGCATCCCCGTTGTTCCTTCTCTGTTCAGTCTCTAAAGGTTCTTGCTCCCCAAGCATATTCTCCATAGAAAAGGCTGAGATGGCACCTGATTTTCTTACATCTGAAACCTACATTTCCAGCTCTGACTTCTCCCTGTGACTCATTTAAGCAACTTTGGACCTCATGGTAGCAGCTGGACGTCCAGTTGATAATCTAAAATGTTCCTCAGGCACTCAGATCTGCCTACTCTCCCCTTCTTCACTTGGTACCCACCCTCTCTGGATTTTCTACTTTAGTAAACAGGCGTTCTTTACTCTTTTACACCAAAACCCAAGAGTTAACCCTGGAATGGTTCTGCATCTCACACTTCATCTCCCGACCTCTGTATTTCTTTTGCTTCTGCTTTTAGATGGCGTCCTGAATACAATCGCATTTCATTGTCGTCTCCCACCGTGCCCTATCTGTCTCTCAAGGACTCAGTGCCTCTTGATGGTTCTTCCTCTTCCATTCTTGACCCACTTCAGTGCGACCTCCATGAGACTAGTTCTCCAGTAGTGGAGTATCCTAATCCTCAGAAGAAGAAATAACAGTTTTAACCCTAGTTTAGTGTCTAGTCTCTATGTGGATTGAGGAAGTAGGCATCATAAGGAACCTAAGATACGATGATCAGTTTAAAGACGACAGGGGTTCTCAGCGTTTAAGTTTTCTTTCTTTCTTTTTTTAATGTTTTTCAGTAAGCTGAGGCCTGGACTTTCTCCAGAAGTCTTCCCAGCCTACTTCTGTAATTGGGCGATATGCATCCAGACCTCGGACCCTTATGGACACTGCTGTATGTTCTTGCAATTCTGTGTCCTTCTGTGAGCTCAGGTAAGAAAAAAAGAATGGGTTTAGGGCTGAAGCCTTTCCTCTTCTTAATTTTTTTGTTTTATACTTATGTGAGGGTATATATGTATATATGTATATGTATATATGTATATGATGTATATGTATATATCAATGTGTAACTTATTGTGCAGCATTTATTACCTGTTTACAAAAAACTGTAGGGGCCTGGCATAATGGCATACCTTTAATCCCAGCACTCAGGAGGCAGAGGTAGGCGGATCTCTGTGAGTTCAAGGCCAGCCTGGTCCACCAATCAAGACCAGGGCAGTCAAGGCAGAGAAACTGTGCCTCAAAAAATGGGGGTTGGGGGGAAGATGGACCTATGAATTTTTATAAGTATTAAGAACTACTACCATAGAGAGATTAGAGACTGTGAGACTGTCTGGGTTATAGATGCAGATGAAATGTATTTAATGTATCTTCTCTCTGCTTTCTGACCCTTCCTCTTTCTGTCTCCCTTTTACACCCTGGAATGTTCCATTGTAGACTTGGCACCTTATTTTATTTCTGAGCCAATCTCTGCTGTCCAGAAGCTTGGAAGACCCGTGGTCCTACACTGTTCTGCTAAACCTGTTACTGCCCGAATCTCATGGTTGCATAATGGAAAACGATTGGACAGAAACACAGAACAGATAAAGATCCATCGGGGGACTTTGACCATTCTGTCTCTTAACCCTTCCCTTTCTGGTTGCTACCAGTGCGTTGCCAACAACAGCGTCGGCGCCGTTGTGAGCGGCCCTGCTACAGTGTCCGCTGCAGGTGAGTGTAGTTTGAATCTTGTTATCTGTTGTTTTCCTTGAAATCTATGGGCTTTCTATTGCGTGCTGCATTTTTTTTAACAGTGGGAAAAACTTGGGCACTAATAGGAGACACGTTTGTACCTGAGGAGTTCTTATCCTGACTGTGGATAACTGGGGAAAGATACTGGAACCTCTGTAACCCAGCCTAGTGGCTTAATCTCTAGTCATAGTGTGGAAATGATTTTTTTTTTTTTAAAGTAGCACAGGACCGTTTTCTAGTGTGAATTCTGGGCAGTCTCTTTGAGCATCTTTTAAAGCCCTTAATATCAATACAACCAGTTGGCTTCGATATTCGTTTATGCCATGCAGTCCTCCATCTTTCTTTCACATCCAATTGTTTTATTTCCCTAGATTACCAGGGGATTGTAATTTATGTAATTTAAACCAGGCTAAGGAAGCGGGTTGGGGTGTGTGTGTGTGTGTGACTGACTGTAAAGAAAGGAATGTGGAGGATTGAACTTACAGAAAATCTGGAATGAGTGGTTTTTCTTAGGAAGTTTGAGCCATCTGCCTCTCAAACGGCGATGGCTTCCAGTAATGGAAAACGGCTTTGTGAGGGCACCCCTATTTACAGAACAAATCTGGACTCCCCCGGAGAAGTGAGTTTGTCATAACTGAGAAGAGTAAATGTTTTTATAGAGCTGTGACCCGTGCACAGCTCCAAGACACACACTGGAGGGCTGATTTCCTGGAGGCAGGCAGCTGGCTTCCTTGGGTGGTGGGGGTGATGGAGAGCCTCCTCAGTGCACAGTGACCTGTTTAATCTGAAAGGAGGCAGCACCGACCGGCGCATCCCGGTGCACTGGGCTACTGTGCTTTACAGCGAGCTGCCTGGGTTCATTCCTAGAAGCTGTTTCATCGAAGGGAAAGTGAATTTTGATGAACATCCGTCTGGATGGGAAAGGATTTACCCTGACAGAATGGAGGTCAATATGCTTTGCAGTTCTCTGTGGTATTTTTGGGTGTTTTCCTTACGGCTCCCCGAAGGCAGTGACTGAAAACCTGTGTGCCCCGATACAGCTATCCGCCCTTAACCACGCCCTCTATTCCAGTGGCTTTCTTATGTGGAAAAAAAAATGTTATTTCTGGCTGTGGGGGGTACACACCTGTAATCCTAGCCATGGGAGGCTGAGGTAGGAGGATCACAAATTCAAGGCTAGCTTCAGCTACGTGATGTTGCATCATGAAACCTGTCGAAAGAAAGAAAGAAAGAAAGAAAGAAAGAAAGAAAGAAAGAAAGAAAGGAAGGAAGGAAGGAAGGAAGGAAGGAAGGAAGAAAGAAAGAAACTAAAACTAAAAAACCAAAAAGATATGTCATCCTCAGGACTGGCATCAGCTGGCACACACGGCCATTTTACGCGTTTACAGGCTTTGTACTTCTTCCTTTGAATTGTCTTGCATTCGTTTGTTTACTTGTTTATTTCAGCTCTGGGTGATTTCGATTTGTCAGCAATGCACGTTATTACTGCAGAAGAGAAAAACACAGGTTTCATTGGCTGCAGGGTACCAGAGAGTAACCCCAAAGCCGAGGTGCGCTATAAGATCCGGGGAAAGTGGCTGAAGTCTTCCACAGGTGAGTCGTGTTTGGGGCGTGCTCTCCGAGGAGGAAGCGGACATGGGTGGTTCCATTAGACAAATTACTCCATAGACTCCTCCTTAACCGCCCAGGGCCATATTTAAAAAGCAAGTCTTTGAGAAGATGACCCACAGGGTCATACATAGGACGATCTATCACTTTCTTCCCCACTATTTGGTAGAGAGTCTCACACCTGGTGTGTGCCATATGTATTTTTGTTTGCCGGGGGTCCGTTTATCTACCACCTCACACTCCACACTGGAATGTTAAGTGCATTAATGAAGGGTCTTTGTCTGCTCTCTGTGTTGCCATGTCGTGTGTGCCCAGGCCATGACTGGCTGAGAACAGCTCCTCCTTGTATTATTTATTGAGAAATATGTTGAGTAGCCAGTGACTGAACACCACTGAGACTATAGGTTGCAACGTGTCCAGATGGATCTGTGCTCAGGTGTTTTGGTCCAAAATAAGGTTCTTGAGCTTCCTGACTCTGACTGTCTGCTAAAGGTTTTCTAATTGGGGTTTTGCTCTATGAGGATTGTTGGGCTTGGCTTCTCTCTCTCTTTTGTTACAAAGTTTCTTTGGCTGTGATGTTGGGCTTGGCTTCTCTCTCTCTTTTGTAACAAAGTTTCTTTGGCTGTGAATTTACTGCTAGTCTTTTGTGTAAATCTCAAGTGTCTGTTAGTCCCAGTTGAGTTGTGGGGGTCTGTAGGAAGGGAGAACCCGGAGCTCTGAAGATGAGGATGACTTTGACCATCTGACGCACCTTCCTCTGCTTCCCACATGCTGGGATTATAGACACGTGCCACCATGTCTGATATCACGTGGTGGATGCTGGTGCCAAACCCAGGACTTTGTGCTAGACAAGATTGTACCAACTGAGCTGCCTCCCCGGGCCCTGACTACGTCCTTCTACCTTCCCCCAGGAAACTACATAATCCTTCCCTCAGGAAATCTTCAGATTCTGAATGTATCCTCGAAGGATAAGGGATCATACAAATGTGCCGCCTATAATCCTGTCACCAGCGAACTGAAAGTTGAACCCACCAGCCGGAAGCTCCTTGTGAGTCGTAAGTATTTGGCAGGATGCTGGTGGCTAGGGAAGGAAGAGTCCTCACAGGGCCAGCTCACACAGCGTTGGTAAAGGAAAGCTCAGTGTGGTTTTCATTCCAGGTTTCACTTATTTATTTGAATGTTAAATTTATTATATTTTATGCATGGGTATTTGCCTGCATGTATGTAGGAAAGGGAGAACCCGGAGCTCTGTAGACGGGGGGAGGGGGGGGTCACTTTGACCATCTGACACGCCTTCCCCTGCTTCCTACATGCTGGGATTATAGACATGTGCCACCATGTCTGATATCACATGGTGGCTGCTGGTGCCGAACCCAGGACTTTGTGCTAGACAAGATTCTACCATTTGCATGCACAAGGTACACACCTGGTGTCCATAAAGGCCAGAAGAGGCATTCATATTCTCTGGAAGTAGAGATACAGAGGGTTGTAAACTTTAATGTGAATGCTAGGAATGGAAGAGCCGCCAGCACCTTTAACCACTGAGCCATATAGCTCTGTCCGTCAATGTGTTATAGAGTAGCCCTATACCTGATTTATGGTAGTTTTTAAAGATGTATTTATTTTATGCATGTGAGAGTATTGCTTGCATATATGTATATGTACCATGTGTGTGCCTGGCGCCCTGCATCAGATCCACTGGCACTTGATTTATGTGTGGTTGTGAGTCAGCATGTAGGTGCTGGGAACTGAACCTGGGTCCTCCGCAAAAGCAGCAAGTGTAACTGTTGAGCCGTCTCTCCAGTCCCCATTTTTAAACATTGTTTTTTTTTTTTAACCCCCCCCCCCAAAAAAAAAAACACAACAGTCGCCGGGCAGTGGTGGCACACGCCTTTAATCCCAGCACTTGGGAGGCAGAGGCAAGTGGATTTCTGAGTTCGAGGCCAGCCTGGTCTACAGAGTGAGTTCCAGGACAGCCAGGGCTACACAGAGAAACCCTGTCTCAAAATACAAAAGAACAAAACAAAACAAAACCCACAACAATCTTCCAGCAGTGGTATTCGTAGATTGGTTATCTGTGAAGCAGGAAACCAGGAGATAATGTGCTTTCTATTCGGTATGACAAAAGCCGTGGCTGATTTGGAATTGTCACTGTTGAGCTGAGGAAGAGCGTAGTTAACGGGTGGCTTTAGACTTAAAACCCCTACATTTCCAAAATGCCAAAAAAAAATTACAAAACATTTTAATTTCGGCTCTCAGAGAAAAATGATTTTGTTATGCATCGGGCCTCGTCACATGAGGGAGAAATGGAAGCAGTTCCCCGGGGTGTTCACAGCTCAAGGAAGAGGGTGGACACGAGTCATTTCTAATGTGATTCTGTGTTCCCTTCCTTTCCCAGGTCCTTCCTCGGATGGTTTTCACATTCTTCACCCTGCTCTTTCTCAGGCATTAGCTGTCCTTCCTCACAGCCCCGTTACCTTGGAGTGTGTGGTGAGTGGGGTCCCGGCCTCACAAGTGTATTGGCTGAAGGATGGGCAGGATGCCGTGTCAGGAGGCAACTGGAGAAGGCTGTACTCTCATCTTGCCACAGCCAGCATCGACCCAGAGGATTCTGGGAACTATTCCTGTGTGGTGGGCAACAAGTCCGGAGACGTAAAACATGTCACTTACATGGTCAATGTACTGGGTAAGTGAGGTCTTACTTACTCAAAATGGAGTTCCATTTCAAACCGGCTTGTTTTCCTAGTCTAGCTGATGTTTGAAGGATATTTGTGAGCTAAAAATGAGACACAGAATATCAAGAAATGTCCATGCTAGTAGCCAGAACAGGGCTCATTTCTACAAAGGGATGCTGAGTGGAACTGTATCTCTGGGTGGCATAGAACATTTGGTATAATGTGTTCTTGGGGCCTCATTCTCAGTACATGCAAAGCCAGAGAGCTTCATGCATGCGTGTGTGTGTGTGTGTGTGCATGTGTGCATGGATGTGTGTTCTGACATAGGCGCGTATTCAAAGGTGTTGGGGTATAAAGTGGGTGGATCCATATTAAAAAAACCAGACTTTAAGCTAGTAGCCACATATTTATTCTGCTGGTGAAAGTTAAAGGTAGATCTCTCAGTGTTTCTTGACCACAGCAGACAGAAGGATATAAATAAGGAACACGGAGATTTCACTACTCAGCGCTAGATTCTCCCTATGTGTGTTACATATGCCTGGTTCATTTTTCAGAGCATGCTTCTCTGTGTCTTACGTGATAGTTACACATGCCTGCTTTATTTTCAGAGCACGCTTCTATTTCTAAAGGGCTGCACGATCAGAAGGTGTCCCTGGGGGCCACCGTACATTTTACCTGCGATGTTCATGGGAACCCAGCTCCCAACCGCACCTGGTTTCATAATGCGAAGCCTATCTACCCCTCCTCACGGCATCTAACTGAAGGAAACATGCTGAAGATCACCGGGGTTATCATGGAAGACTCTGGGTTATATCAGTGCATAGCAGACAATGGGATTGGATTTATGCAGTCTACTGGAAGGCTTCAAATTGAACAAGGTGTGCTTTTGAATCACGTAATCACAAGAAATTTTACTTCATGGGTAGGCTTTTTCAGTACTTAGATATGAAATCATGTTTTTGAAAGAAAATAATCCTATGACTGTCTGAGAACTGGGTTTGTTTTCCATGGTCCTTTGTAGCAACAGACTGGGATTTTGATGAAGCCACTTTATTTAATCATGCTTCTAGAAAAAATGGTTTTGGGGATAGATGGATAGCTTAACGGTGTTAACTGCATTGGCTGAGAGCACCAAGGCTCAATGTTCAGCACCCATATGACAGACAGTTCACAACCCTCTACAACTCCAGCCTCAGGATCCAATGCCTTCTTTGTGCTGTGTGGACACCAGGTACACAAGTGGTATATGTACATACATGCAGACAAAACACCCACAAACATAACAAAAGTTTAATGAAAAACTTGTGTCTTGGTTGGCCCTATATCCCCAGTGGAATAGCATGGTGATTGACCGGGTTCCTCTAGGCTCTAAATAATACACTGTTGCAAAATATGCATTTCAAACACTTTCTTCATAGTTTCTAAAGGTCTACATTGAAGTCTACAGTCTCTTTTGCCCTCCCCATCCCGACCACTATCCAACAGCCAGTCTTTTCTTTACAACTGACTGGTTTTTATCAGTTTCTTGAATAAACTTCTGTTCACACATACAAGAATTATACACTACAAGTGTGTGTGTGTTTGTGTGTGTATGTGTGTGTGTGCATTTCTATTGTCTTTTAAAAAGACAAATTGTGCTAGAAGTGTTTCTTTTAAAAACTTTGCTTAACTTATAGTTTGAATTTCTTCTCATGTGGTATACCAAACCATATATTTATTCTTTAAGAAAAATGGCTGCTTACAATTTCGTTATATACTTGGCAGTAATTTGACTAGCATCTTGTTGATAGCTGTTTGAGATATAATGAACATTTTGATTTTTCTGCATATGTGTGAGTATCTCTAAAAGAAATTTCTAGACGTGAACTTGCAAAATAAACCTATGTATGTATACATTAGAAATTTCAATAGATACTATTGAGTGTCTCTTCATAATTATCATGAGTTCATTCTTTCATGAACATTTTGTATGTCCTGTTTCCTCACATTATCAGCAAAATGTAGTTGATCAATTTGTATGTGTATACACGTACACATGTGTGCTCATGGAGTCTAGAGGTTGAAGTGAGGTGTCTTGCTGGATTCTTTTATGTTTTGAACCTTCTGAAACTCATTGACTGGGCTAAGCTGGCTGGGCAGTGACCTTTGGGGATCTGCCTTCTTGCCCCATTCCCTGCACTGGGCTTCCTTGCAGATACTAAATACACCCTTCCATACCTAGCTTTTATGTGGGCAGTAGGGATCCAAACTCATCCTTGTGCTGCAAGCACTTTACCAACCAGGCTGTCTCCTCAAGCCACCTTTTTCAAACTTTTTTTTATATTTTTATCTTTCCCCAATCTTTAGTATCCTATCAGGAAAAAAATACTTTTTAATCTGTACTTTTTTAAAAATTCTAGGTGAAATTAAATATCTTTTCATATGCCTGGGAGACATTTATACTTACTTCTTTACATATTAACTGTCTTTTGCCCATTTGAAAATTTAAGTTTGGGTTATTTTCCTTATTGATTTATAATAGGGAACTTGTTTGTGAGTTTTAAACATTTCAAAGTTCAGAGCATCCGTGTGAAACAACACCTCTTTGATCTTAGTATGACAAATTTAGAAGTTAATAAAACAAACCATTTTTAAAAAAGTTATGTATTTGGAAACATTAAATTACAGTTCAAAATCATAGTGGAAACTTAAAATACTTTAAGCTGAATGGCAATGAAAGTGCCAGAGAGCAAGGCCTTAGTTACTGTTGCTATCAAAGAGCAATGCCTTAGTTACTGTTACTATTGCTATTGCTGTGAAGAAACACCATGAGCAAAAACAAGTGAGGGTGGGGAAAGGGTTTATTTCTCTCACAGTTCCATGTTAACAGTTCATCAAAGCACTGAGGGCAGGAACTCAAGGGCAGGAGTCTGGAGGCAGGAGCTGATGCAGAGGCCATGGAGGGGTGCTACTTACTGACTTGCTCCACATGGCTTGCTCAGCCTGCCCTCTTATAGAACCTAGGACCACCATCTAGGGGGCACCACCCAAAATGGGCTGGACCTGCCTCATCAATCACTAATTAAGAAAATGACTTACAGCTGGATCTTATGGAGACATTTTTCTCAATTGAGGTTCCCTCCTTTCAGATGACTCTAGCCTGTGTCAAGTTGACATAAAACTAGCCAGCACAATCAATCATGTCCTGTGGGAAGACAGCCAACATGGAATTTAGGACTTTTATAGCCTTATGTGCTTACCAAAGAAAACAAGTAAGGTTGAAAATTATTGAGTAAATCAAAGGAACATTAGATTCGAAGAAGTCAGAAGACAGGAGAAGCAAAGCCAAGAGCAGAAAGCATCTAAGAAAAGAAAGGTAAACTGCAAGATAGAAAGTGTAGAAATTGATTCTTGGTAAAGTGAACTAATCTTTGGCAAAATCAAGTAAAAAAGTGGATATAAAGACAGTATTAAGGAGAGAAGGAAATTGTAAGTCTCAATGCAGAGATTAGAAGTATTAAAGCAACCAATAGGACAATACATTACAAATATAAACAGAGCTGTGGTGTTAACTCCTACCACTGAATACCTGAGATGATCAAATGAAAAGGAAGAAAGCTTTATTTTAGCTCATCGCTTCAGATGTGGTGACTCGGGCCTGTTGCTTTGGGCCTGTGGCAGGCAGTATAGAGAGAGCATCAAATGGCTGGAATAAGTCTAGCAGCGACCTGCTTAGGTCATGGCTTGGAAGCAGAGGGACAGAAAGGGGGCAAGTTCCCAGTCTCCCCTCCAAGGACACACCCCCCCAGAGACCTAACTCCTTTTCAACCAGGCCCCATGTTGTTAAAATGTCATTATCACTCAAGCAGCCTGGCAGCCTGTTGACCAAGCTTTCAACTTGTAGGCTTTTGTGGGGGACTCCAGATTCAGACTATAACATGGGCAAATTCTAAGGGAAAATAGAACTTAGCAAAGCTGACTTAAAGTAAATAGAAAACTTGAGTAGGTTTTTTTTTTCTTTTCTTTTCTACAGCTATGGCAGAAATTGAATTAGGAGTTAAGTTTTTCCCACAAAGAAAACATCAGGCCAGATGGTTTGGTAGAGTAATAGACCTTTCCAGATATTACACAACTCTCCCAGAGAGAAGGGGAAATGGAAAGTCTCTAGTCAGTATAATCTGAAGTCCAAAATCACAGAAGGATGGGACCAGAAAATGAGTAAAGGGAGGGAGGTCTTATTTTTGTGAACATAGGCATAAGAATCATAAACGACATATCATCAAGTCAGAAATGTATAAAAAATACACATCTTGCTGAAGCAGATATCTCAGCAATCTGCCATAAAATGCTTTGTTCACCCTATTTACTGTATAAAGGAGAAAAACCATGATTATCTCATTAGAAGTAGGAAAAATGAGACAAATGTATGCTAGACGGTCAGAAAAATGGAGATAGAACTTGATAAAAGGTATCTAGCAAAGACTCAGATGAAACACTCTTACCATGAGAATGTAAAAGGTGCTCTCTTTAAAATGCACTCCGGGTATCTGTGTGTGAAAGAACTCAGCCAGTACAGAAAGACACGAAGAAATTAGAAGGAAGTAATCCAAACAGTTATTAATTAATAGCCAGTGTTGCCATTGTACAATATCCAAGTGCTTGCTAGCTCTTTATCATATGTTTTATTATTAAAATACTAATATTTAGCAAGAAGCTAAGCGAAGACCTAAATAGTCACAAATAATTTGCCTTTCTGTATACCAGCAACAAGCAGGAAGTACTATTTAAAAAAAAAATCACTTTTTGTATTGGTAACAAATTACATATAAAGATACATTCTAGGTTATGGATAGCAACATTTGGAATTATATGTCAATCTGGTCTTTTCAAACTCTTTCTGAAGGTTTATGCTACTCCAGGTGGAATCTTATCAGGTGGAATATTTTGAAGACTTTAGCTGGGCTCTAATGGACCAGAAGTTCAGGGTCATTCTTTTCTTTGAGTCCAGCCTGGATTATATGAGAATGCATGAGTCTGTGTGTGTGCGTGTGCATCTGTGTATACCCTTGAGAAAATGATTATGAAGTTTATAAAGACAAGCAGAGGCCCCAGAATAACTAGAGTACTCTAAAAGCATGGGGGACTTGCTGTAAGCATAAAAAGCCAGTAATAATTTCAAAAGCATTACACTACTGCAGGAAAAAATAGACTGTTGGACATGACAGAGTAGGACAAAAATCTTTTTACATAGAAAGTCCTGAATGAGCTGGCATTGTGTACTCTGTTTCAAGTTTTGACTTGAAATAATTAATCATCAAAGTGAAATAGAAAATAAAATTGAATCTCTAACTCACACAGTACATAAAGATAAATTCACAAGGGCAAGTTTTTGAGGGCTACATTGGAGAGTACCTGTATGATCTATGACTCAGTGTTTTAGCAAGCCATGTATGGCATTTATGAATGGCATATAAACCTGCCAAGCAATGTTCTGCCTCCTTAGTCCTCAGGGATGTACATGTTCTAGCCAGTGAGAGCTATTATACCTATTCACGTGGCAAAAATTCAGAAACCAACGAAGATCCAGCGTCCTTTGTTTTATCGGACATGATAAATAGGTCTAGAGAGAAGGAAACATTCTGGAAAAAAATGTCTTCTGTGTCGATCAATATTTTATTGTGTCTTTACTTAAAAATCCCTCCAGAAAATACCAGGACTAGGAGGGAAGACTTGGTGCCATTTTGATTTAGAAACAAAATGGTCTTCATGTCCATGGTAAAAACATATACCAAATTGCATTTAAGATAATTTTTTTTCTCTCTCAGCCGTTCTCTAATGAGATTTCACCAGAACCGACTGTTTTCCTGAAGGAATATTATCCAGTTTTATGTTTCTTTACCTTTTTCATGTTATGTCCGTGCTTACCCTTCTGTATTCACAGCAGTCTAGTAGGCTTGATGTACCTATTGGAATCTCAGTAAATTTGTTTATATACACCCCTTTCAGGAGGACAAGAAGTCTAGGTAGGAAATTTGATGAGTCTACAACTAGAAAAAAATTCTACTTTAAAAAAAAAGTGTAAGATGACTGTGGGGGCGCACCCCTTTAATCCCCGAGTTCAAGGGCAGCCTGGTCCACAGAGCAAGTTCCGTGACAAGCAGGGCTACACAGAAAAACCCCTTTCCAAAACTGCTCCCCTCACACAAAGAAATTGCACACAACATCCTGCATGGCTTGGTGCTGGAGTCCTGAGGGGGTGACAGGGAATGAGGAAAGGGCAGGCACATACTCAAACACATTTGGAAAAGCTAGCATTGGATGGGCTATGCCCACTCTACTGGAGGTCACCTAGATGGCCTCAGGAGGAGGATTTCCAGGGAGGTGACTCAGGCTGTAGTCATCCAGGAGGACAAAGCTGCTATTATTTGGTTTTTGCACACATTGTCAACATTCACACAGGTACTAGAACTAAGGCTTTTGCCAGTTCCCTGAACCTAACTCACCTGGGAAAGTCTATTGGTTTCAGGCATTGAGGTCCCTGTCAGTAATAGACATTCTCTTAGGACTTCATCCTCCCCTTACATATTTACCTGGGGCTTTCTCTGCTTCTCAAAATTATGTACTTTTCTTTGTGTGTGTGTGTATGTGTACATGAGATGAGAGGGCAACTTGTGGAAGTTAGTTTTCTTGCAACCATGTGGATTACAAGGATTGAACCTATGTCATCAGGCTTGGAGGCAAGAGCCTCTGTTGGCTCTGAGACATTCTGCTTTCAGTTGTCAGTTTTATAGGGTGAAAGTTGAAGAGAGAGCTAATCGGAAAGGGGATGTCTTTGCGGTGTCATTTCTGCAGTAGGATGAAGTTACTTTGCAGGGCAGATGCTATCGTGTTCCTAGTTTTGATTATGTAAATTGTGTTTCTAATAGACAGCGGACAGAAGCCTGTTATAGTCACTGCGCCAGCAAACGTAGAGGTGACCGATGGAGACTTCGTGACTTTGTCTTGCAACGCCACGGGAGTGCCTGTCCCAGTCATTCATTGGTACGGCCGCCATGGATTGATAACCAGCCATCCATCACAGGTCCTCAGATCCAAATCCCGAAAGTCCCACCTGTTGCGACCTGGGGACCTGGACCCGGAGCCTATCTACCTCATCATGTCCCAAGCTGGATCCAGCTCTCTGTCTATTCAGGCAGTTTCTCAGGAGCATGCTGGGAAATACACTTGTGAAGCTACAAACAGACATGGCAGCACACAGTCAGAAGTGTTCCTCACAGTCGGTGAGTCCGTTTCAGCATTTTTTTCTCAGTAGAACAGTGCCTTTTTGTAGTGGGGGAAAAAGATGATTTGAAAGGTTGTTTTAATGGATGTACGCTTTCCCCGTGGTGACGGAAACATAGGACTGTTTTGGGGGTATTTAGCTGTATGGGAACCAGGTGGGTCTTGGTCTCCATTTCGCATTTAATTCTTAGGAATGAGCTCAAAATACAGTCTGTCTTTGTTATTAATGGCTTTGGGTTTTGAAGGTACTGAAGAGGTTATTTCACATAGTTTTTGGAGGAGAACATGAGAAACAAGATTCAAAGTCTGAAGGGTCAGCATGCATTGAGAAGGTAGACCTAGGGTCCTATCAAATGCCCATACATGGCTACTTCAGTTATCTTTCTAATGGGATGTGTAGTGCTATTTATATCCCATTGATTTGACATGATGATGACTTAGCAGTTACATATGATGTTTGAAGTACTCCAGTTCTGACCTCACCCCAGTGGGCATGTCGAGCAGTGTTCCCCAGTGTTGGGTCAGTAGATGGCAGAGTGGTTTTAGCAAACCACTGGCTGCTTATCAGTTGGTTGTCAGTCAGCTGAGTAGATTGCTTTGCTTGTCTGCTGAGGCATAGGGTATACAGTACTGTTTTAGTACGGGGACACTGAGGTTTCTGCCCTAGACACTCCAAATAGGGTTTTAAGTGACCTTTTTCTTCCCGGGTCCCCCCATGTCTCCTCTGTTATAGAGCCTGTAGGATCCAGGTCACTGTGTATCCTGGAGTTCACATTCTTCTCTCTGGGTAGTGGCTCCAGACCCCAGAGTTCCCTGCTTTAATGAGTTCACAGTCCAGGCTCTCATGGGTGTTCTTACCCATCCTGTCCTCCATAGATGTCCTTAAAGCACAGGAGGAGCCTTGGGTGGTCTTGGCAGAAAAGCGCTGGTGCTAGAGTTGGCTGGTAACATCGCTGTTTGCTTTCTCTCGTAAACAAGGAGTCTCTAGCTCTGTGTAAAGCTGGAGGCCAGAAGAGAAGTGTGCAGAATCTAGGACCTGCATTCTCCTATGCGAATGTGCTGTTTGATGCCCGTTAGAGGTGGTTCACTGTGTGGACATGAAGTCTGTAGGCTGTGCTGAAATAATGCAGCATGCCAACCAGAGGTCGGTTACTGAACTCTGCCTCCTTCTGATGCCACTAATGTCCTGCTCATAGGATTCGCTTGCAAGTCCAAGAGGCCATGACAGGAAAGCTGTTACAATGGTGTCTGGTAATAGAAGACATTATTGCTACTAGCAGGTCTATAGGAGATGCCTGGGTAGAACTTAGCAAGCATGATTATTTTATGCAAATGTACAGCAGTATAAAGAAATATAGATGCTACGGTTGTAGCTGACAGAACTAGTTATTTTTTTACTTTCTCATTTTAAATATGAGAAATCTGAAACACTTAAATTTCATTATCTAACTTGCTTAAAAACCTCCTCCTCTGCTCCAGAATCCTGTCCCAATAAATGCCATTTTAATGAGCAATAACTCCGCTAGCTACAGCCTACCCACCTGGGCCTTTTCTATGTTCTAGAAGAATTAAGGCCTAGTTGAGTCTATTAAAGCCAAAACAGTACACAGTAGTGCACTTCTGTGGGTAGAAACCTGAGCCTCATTAAATTCTAGCATTAACTGTCAGTTCCTTTGTTTATTATGGGGAGGGTAAGTTATATCTGAAAATGGGTGACAAGTCCCTCTCCCTTCTTTCCAGAGACCTTGAGCTTCTGAGGTCCTGGATATATAGTATCTCTATAAGTGAGTTGTATCTGCTCAAAACTCTAACAGGGGCTGGGCTTGGCTCCCTGCAATGTGTTGTGGATGTGAGCGGTCACATGGGGACATGTTGGTAAGGTTTAGTTGTATTTCACGTTAATTTGTACTGAGGCTTATTAATTCAATAACACTGCTATATCTTTTTCCTAATTCAAAAGCAGCCTACCTTTCGGATGGGGGTAGGGGTGTTCATTCTTGGAATCGACAGTTGGGAGACTGAGGCAGGAATATTGCTACAAGATCAAGGCTAACCCAGACTGTGGAGTAAGAACCTGTCTCAAAGAACCAAAACAAAGCTAATCTTTCCTTAAAATTAAAAAAAAAAAAAAAGTAGGACATGAAGTTGGGAGAGAGACTGGGGTGGGGCACTGAGAATTGGCGGGAGGTAGTGATGGACAAATGTGATCAAAGCATAATGTATAAATGTGTGAAATTTACAAAGAATAAATGTATGATTTTTAAAATACAGAAATAAAATTCCACCTGTCTTTTAGAGTTCTTTTGAAGACCAACTGAGATAGAGATACTATCCACCAGCGCTTCTGAAGGTCTAGACAGTCTCCAACTGAAGATGGTTCCACTTAAATTTTTTCCATTTAAAACAGTAGTATGGAAGTGATACACATTCAGTAGAAACAACTCTTTGAATTTTGGCCTTTTCCTGAGCTGGCAAGAAGAGCTTTGGTTCTCTGACACTGGGCAGTAGCAGTGAGCTGTTCCTCCCAGTCAACCACTCCAGATGAGGGGGACATAGCTGCTGTAGTGTGCTCTTGCTAACCGATGGTGTCCAGTGGGTTGGGAATATTAAATGTACCTTTCCAATTTAATATTTTTAATTAATTGATGGTGAGTTTATTGGGATAACGTGAAGAGCATTCCATGTGGCCAATATCTTTAAACAGTATCTAATACAAATTTTTATTTACTCAAAGTGTATTATTTGCAAACAGTAGAGATTACTGAGTTTCCCCCATTTTAAAAGTTGTGGCAGGCTGCAGCGCACCTGGAGTAACAGAATCGGAGTTGTGATGCTCTCTCAGCGGGCAGGCTGCAGGATAGCATTCTTCTTACACTCCGGTATAAACTGAGGCATGTGGTATAGAAAGTCTTTTGTGGCCAGATACCACTTCCCAGTGGTCAGCTGCTGGGAGGATCCAGGAAACTACTAATGAAACAAGAGTCCTTCCCCATACCCAGGCCACGCTAATCCCCTCTGGTTGGAGCTCATTTTTCAGTACTAAGCAGGCACAACATCCACCTTGGTGTCCACTCCTCTCTGACTCACTAGGTAAACATGCTCCTTCCAGGAACAATATTTTCAAGTTGTCTCAGTGAACTTAATTAGTTTTCTTCTGCAGTCTTTCACACTAGCTTCTTATTTTCGTTGGTGGAGGATGATTCTAGGACATTCTTTCATACACTAACAGAGACCTGACCTTACACTGTTGGTCTGGGTCTTGTGGGATTTTTGTTAATGTGTTGTGGTTCTAATATCACACCCACTTTTTTTTTTAAAGCAGGATTCTGACCTCACTGTAGAGGTAACCACTATGTTTTGTAGTCTCCGTGGTGTCCCCGTGTCATGTGTTTCCCTTCCTTCCCGAAGGAGTGAATAATGGGGACCTTTTGTTGCCAGTATTAATAGCACCGGAGGGAAACCAAGCTGTCAATCCTTAGGCTTCTGGCAGTCTGTCTGTCTCCACAGAGCTCTCACACTTTCTCCGTTCTTCTCTCAGCTGCCCACTAACATTCCTCTACAGCTCTCGTCTTAAGAGTCTGGGAACTCCATCTCCTCATCTGCAAAGCAGGAGGAAGTACTCCTCTCCACCAGAGAACTAAATGAGATTATTTCTATTAAACATCTTGTATGGTCCTTGGTACAAAAATGTGTTCAGTAGTTTTGGATATTTGCATCCTCATCTTAAAAGTCAAAATACATTATTTTTACCTTCCTCTGTAGTTTCTAAATGCTGTTGGAAGTGGGTGTTAAGACTTAGCATTTTCTTTAGACTGGCAGTTTTTTTATATGATATTTTAATTCCTTGAGAACTTCATACCATTTATTTTGAACATATCTACCCTCCCTTCCCCAGCTGTTCCCGTGATGACCCTCTCTACCTTACCATGTTTTCCCATCCAACTTTGAGATTTGTTTTTTCTCCTATCAAGTCCAGTTTGTGCTCCCCAGCTAGTTTTGGGAGTGGGGGTCTGCCCTGGTTTGTGGTTTACCTACTAGAGGCCACATCATTAAAGAAAACCAAGTCTTCCTCTCCTGGCATCTGCCATGGCAGTAGTTCCTTGGCTAGTGGTGGAATTTTGTGCCCATTTTACTTCCTCTATGACAGGATTTTAACTGATCACTTTAAATCTACAGTCAAAAAGCAGAGAGAGTGGAATGCTGGTGCCCAGCTGTCTTTCTCCTTTTCTTTTCAGTCCAGGATCCAGCCCTAGATTACTATAAGGTCCCCGCTATATTAATCCAGTCTAGAAAGTGCCTCATGAACATGCCCAGAGGCATGCTTCCTTGGAGATTAGAAATCCCGTCAAGTTACCCATCATAAGTGGGATACCTGTTGATGAGTACTGACTGCCCAATGAAGGACACAGCCCCAGTGCTATTTCATTCCGTTCTATCCTGTTCTGCTCTTCTTTTGCCTTGCTTGCTTGGGGTTAGTGATTTGTAACTTGGCTATCATCAGCAGATACGACCAAAGTAGCTTCACTCTCTGTGGTCTTTTATAAAAATGGCAACTCACTTCTGTCTTCTGTTTGGGAAATCTCTACGTAAGACCAGCTGGCACAAGCCTGTGTGGTAGCCAAAGCCGAAGGCAGTGTGCAAGCCTGAGAACCAGGACTTCCTGAGGATTAGGCTGAGATGCAGGGCTGGAGGGCACTGTGTAAGTGGGAATTCTGGGAAGGAACTTTGGAAACTAGCTTCCCAGAGGGTGTGAGAGCAATTCTGACCGTTAATACCCAAACTAAACCAAACCAAACCAAACCAAACCAAACCAACCAACCAACCAGACAAACAAACAAACAAACAAAAACCCACCACATTTCTTTATTGAGCATGTGGGGAGGGGCATACATGTGGAGAAACTTGAAGGAGTGGGTTCTAGCCTGCTCTGTGGGTCCTAGAGATGGAACCCAGGTTGTCATGCGTGGCAGCAGGTGCCTTTGTCCACCGAGTCATCACGTTATCTCCCATGTCCTTCTTCAGTCTCTTTGTTCACTGTGATGTTCCATTTCTGTTCACTGTCCACTGTGTTAAACTCTTTTTACATTGGGTTAGTAAATTGTTACTGCAAAAACTCAATATTAATGCAGAGCTAAGTGAAAATAAAAGTCTTCTCACCAGCATCGTGCTACTAGTTTTCCAAATGAAAATGACTTTGCTTTCCAGTGAGCAGGCAGATTGACAGTAGCCATCAGAGGTTACTCTGAACGAATCGGTGAAATGTTACTTGTTTTAAGTTCTCAGATGCCCGTTTGCTCCTATTGTCAGCATGGATGCTGATATTAACCCGGTAGAAGATGCTGGAAAAGCAAGTCTTCTTTAAGCAGTCTACCCTTATTCCTCTCTCCCTCTGTACAGTTCCTTTTGAAACAAACACAAAGGCAGAATCAGTCACACCTTCTGAAGCTTCTCAGAATGATGAACGAGACCCACGAGACCGGTCGGAGTCCGGCCTGCTGAACTTGTTTCCAGCGAAGGTGCATTCCAGTGGAGTGGGATTGCCAGCCGAGAAAAATGCCTCTGTTCCCGATGCTCCTAACATACTGAGCCCTCCACAGACCCACATGCCAGACACATACAACCTGGTGTGGAGGGCAGGGAGGGATGGCGGAATGCCCATCAACGCCTATTTCGTGAAGTACCGAAAGGTAATTCATGTTTCTTTTCTCATTTTCTAACCCTGTGTATGTGTGAGACATTTGCTTATTATGTGTTACATTTGTGGGAGGGTAGAAAGTGAGAATGTTCCAGAATAAGTTTGTGAGAAGTATCCTCACTAGTCGTTCTGGATTAACAGATTTTAGGATATCAGTGAGGATGGAGTATAAATAATTTTTTTTCCCCAAGTCAAAGTGTAATCCAGAGTAACCATTTTCCTTCCCTCCCTCCCTCCCTCCCTCCCTCCCTCCCTCCCTCCCTCCCTCCCTCCTTCCCTCCCTCCTTCCCTCCCTTTCTCCTTCCTTCTCTCTCTCCCTTCTTTCCTCCTTCCTGCCCTGTGCTAGGGATGGAACTCAGGGTTTCAAGCTAGGCTAGTGATTGCCCCTGGGCTCTGTCTCCAGCCCCCGTCACTTTCCATTTTCTATCAAACCTCTTGTTTTAACACACTGAGTGTCAAACTCTGTAAGCTACTTGGAAAACTGCAGTTCTGTTGTCTGCTAAGGTTGTAGAATACTCATCAAATAAAGAACTGTTGGGATAAGTTTCTCTGGCATCATCTTTGACCATTGCATTGTAGACTGACCTCTTACTAGTACTAGAATCTTAAATGGTTGGGTTATTTATTTGATCATGCTTGGGCCTCTATGTGTTGATTCTTTGGGTGATATATTTTCCCTCTGCAGGCTTATACTAAGGCAGAAATTTAAAAGCTCCTCTTATAATCTTAGTGAGATTAATACATTTCACAAGATGAAAAGCATTGTATCTCTCTCTCACAATAAGAGATGACTTCCGCAAACTCCTCTAGCATTAGATACAAGCTGCTTTCTGTGTAATTGTGAAGAAAGGTTTTTCTACCCTCCGTCTTTCATGTCTCTGGTTTCTCTTGAGCAGCTGGACGATGGCAGTGGTGCAGTGGGCGGCTGGCACACGGTGCGTGTCCCAGGGAGTGAAAATGAGCTGCACCTAACTGAGCTGGAGCCATCAAGTCTCTATGAAGTTTTGATGGTGGCCAGAAGTGCAGTGGGTGAAGGACAGCCTGCCATGCTTACCTTCCGAACCAGCAAAGGTGAGTGCCATCTTCCATCAGAGTGAACTGGCTACTTAATGCCAATTTATTGAATCCTGTTGGATAGTAGAGATCCCAAGATATAAATTTGTTATCTATGCATATTGCAGCACCTCTCGGGGGCTACATTTAGGTGATTGTATTATTTATTCCAGTGTAATGTCCCATACATATTTTTGCAAGTGCAGGATAAGCAGCCTTCAGATGGCTGAGGCAGGGGAATCAGAGACAGGTTGAGATCCAACAGCGGAGCGCACACTCTGATGAGAAGGTAAAATGCACAGTTGAGTAACAACTCTAGACAAAATTCAGTTCGGTTCTGGGATCCATCAACATTGACCATGCACTGGGCAGTGTAGTAAATAGACATAGCTGATCCCCATGAAGCTCATGTCCTGGGTGGGCGGAGCTTAAGTCATAGGTACGTTAAGGGGGGTGGTATTAACAAAGAAATAACTTCAGGGGTGGACTTAGGGAGTGTCTGGGTTGGAGTTACTATAAGTAGGTGGCCAGGGATATGTTCAGTATTAGTCAGCAGCACGTTGTTTAAAGAAGAGGACGTAGAAGTTCTCTACACATCAGGGGAGAGTTTGTTCCTGGCAGTCAGACTGGGGTGTACCAGGGCACGAAGAATGATGTGCTAAGTGTGCATACCGGGAACACCAAAAGGCCCCTGCGATGGAGTGAATTGGGAAGTTGTGTGTGCGTGTGTGTGTGTGTGTGTGTGTGTGTGTGTGTGAGAGAGAGAGAGACAGAGAGACAGAGAGACAGAGAGAGACAGTGTGGCTCAGTGACACAGCACTCTGTGGAGCTTGCTAAGTCTTTGCTGGTGAAGCCTTGTGAGCTATGAGGAGATGGAACATTTGGGCTGGAGTTATGGAGTCAGGAGAAATGGAAGAAGGTAGGGTAGGGAAAACAGAACAATATGAGCAGTACCGTGACAGAAGATTCCTGATGAGCAGCTGGAGAGGGGAGTCCAGGTAGAAGAGGCTATGCCGGAGTAGCCTAGATAAAGGAAAATACTTCAGGGGTGGAGAGGGGAGTCTTGAAGAAGCCAGTGCTGGAAAAGAAATGGCCTCTGAAGACTGACACGGGTGCATTCGGTGACTTTGGGAAATACCTTCATCTACTCACTATCCTGCAGAAATGAGTACTTCCCATTTTAAATGAGTCTTCAGTCAAGTTTCACTCCTAGGTCCTAGTCATTCATAGTGTGACCTAAAGCCACTGAGGAGATGATTTGGTTTAAAAACTAGAAAACAACAAAGAACGAGTCTCATTTTTGCTCATTAAAACATTGAAATTAGTATATTATCTTTCTGCATAGCATCCGTAACAGAAAGTTCTTAATTGTGATTATTATTATTTTGGAATGGATATGTGCAACAAGAGGAAAATGGGCTAATCAGAGCCTCTGCTCGGGTCCTCATTCAGGGTTCCTGCTCTGGTTGTTTTAGTAGTCAAGGGTCTCTCGAGGAAGTGAACCAATGCAGGTACATAGACATGGACATAGACACACACAGACACAGACATAGATGTAGACAGACATAAACATAGACAGACAGAGACAGACATAGACATAAACATAGACATTGAGACATAGACAGGGACATAGGAGACAGACATTGACAGAGACAGAGACAGACAAAGACAGACATAGACATTGATAAGAACATAGACATAGACAGACAGGGACAGACAGAGACAGACATAGACAGAGACAGACATAGACAGAGATACAGATAGAGATAGGGACATAGACAGACATGGACATAGACAGACATAGGCAAGGACATAGACAACTTGGAAGGTTTCTGGAGAGCTACTGGTCCTCAGTCAGCGGCAGACACTGGCAGCGCTGGGATGAGCAGCAGTAGCAGGATAAATTCACTCAGCAGCAACACGGAAGCTGACTAAGCAAATCTGGACTGCTACCAGCCTCAGGGTCTTCCAGCTTTTCACAGGATGCTCCATTCTCAGGCGATTCTAACCTGTGGCAAGCTTGTATCAAAACCAACTATTGTGTGTAAATTAAAGTGGTATCACAAAGACACATTTAGAGTTCTCTTAACAGTAGTAGAGAAAGACAAAGTGTTTGTCTTAGTTCCTGACATCAGCTTAGTATAAGAGAGATACTTTGTTTAGACACAGACACATATATCATCACAGCTACTTATGTTTCATAGTAATTTTTTGTTTTCATTTTGCATATAGAAGCTTATTGCCTTTTTAAAAATACTTTACAGAAAAAATGGCATCATCAAAAAACACCCAGGCATCCTTTCCACCTGTGGGCCTCCCTAAGCGACCTGTTACTTCAGAGGCTTCCAACAGCAATTTTGGAGTTGTGCTTACGGATTCCTCTAGGCATAGTGGAGGTAAAGAATCTTCGTCTTCTCTGTTTATAAATGTCACTGTCCTATTTCACTTTGGGGAGATACAATAGGGACATCAGTTATTAAGGTTGTGTTCTAGGCTGCACAGCTATCTTTTTATATGTGTATGTATATGTCATGTATTTGTGTGTGTGTGTTTGGGCACATGTTTGTGTGTGTGTGTGTGCATGTGTGTGTGACAGAGGGGGGGGGAAGATAGAGACTAGATATATTTATATCTATGATAAATTATTTTACTAAAAGATTATGTTATATTAACTTTTATTGCTATATTTAATTAATCTTATGAAATTTAAATGAGCAGTAAAATTTATTTGTAATATTTAAATTTCATATTTTTTTCAACTCTAGCCTCATGTGGTTGTGTGTGTGTGTGTGTGTGTATGTGTGTTTAATGTTGGGGACTCAACACAGGGCCATGTGCATGCTAGGCAAGTCCTGTACTGTGCCACTAAGGTACATACCCCATACTCTGCCTTCAAGCCACTTTTTGTAATTATGCTAACTTGGGACACGTAGAGAACACTTAACATTTGCTGTTATGGTATGATCTACAAGTTTCCATGCTTCCCCCCACCCCCATGTTTTTATAGTTTACCATGAATTGATATCAAGCAAAACAGATCTTAGTACTCTGAGCTGCCCTCTTCAGTGTCATGAACCTTCCTTACCTGAGGAGTCTCTCCTCAGAGCTGCTTGTCAGTTGCCTAAACACACTCTGTGAATGTCAGCACTATGAGAGTAAAGTCGATATCTCAAAGGGGAATACTTTACTTAACCCAACATGTAGAAGTCACTCACTGCCAGCACAGTAGGGATGAAATCATCCTTGGTCTCAAGGATTTAAAGAGGGTGATACAGACATCTGCACACACACCAGTGAGTTGACTGCTAAAAGGAAGAAACAGCTCAACCCGTAGCAACAGAATGGATAATATACACAGGCACACCCGTGACAGCCAGCTTGTCCATTCTGCCTATGCTTATACTCCTGGTATTCTGGAGTCGATGGAGAGATACCCAGCTTGCCCACTGGATACAAAGGAGGGCGTATAATAGTTCACACAGCTGCTTAGCACCTTGATTTAAGCCTCAGAAGACAAGGATGATGCCTCCAGGTGAAGAAAAGATACCTCATATAGCAGATGGACAGTTGATACAATGCACCCAGTGTAGAGATTAGATTTTGTTTGCAGTGACATATTGCCAGTGGGGACGATGATAGTGTAAGGCACAGGCAGGTGCCATATCTTCTATGATACATGTAAAAGTGTAATCTCAGGTGGCAAGTAAGGGCACTTACTGCCTGACAGCCCAAGGACCCACATGTCGAGCGAAGAGAAAAGGCTCTTACAAACTGTCCTCTGACCTCCATACGAGTGCTGTGTCAAATGTCTCAACATATGTCACAACAAATAAATAAACAAACAAATAAATAAAATAAGACTTTTAAAATTGTAATCTTTTCTTGAGAGCTAAGAAGAGCCCTAGTACTTAACCTAGCAAGGGAGATACCCCAGGATCATGAAGGTGGATTCCCCGGAGCAAGGTTCGTTTATTACACCTGGGATGTGTTGACCCTATGATTTCCCCAAGTGCTGGAAACTTGACTGTACAATTTGTGGTAGTTGGGGACTGCATTCACATTTGTCTTACTTCTTCAAAAAACAAACAAACAAAAAGAAAACAATCCTAGAGGGCCTTAAAGAGGAAGAAATGCAAAAGATGTTCCTAGGAAACATGGAGATGACATCAGTGAATGAAGGAGGAGGGGAGGTGACAGCCAAGGTTAGACTACAGGAGGGAGGGGCCAGCTGAGGTTAGAGTAAAGGGGGAGGAGCCAGCTGAGGTTAGAGTAAAGGGGGGGCCAGCTGAGGTTAGAGTAAAGGGGGAGGGGCCAGCTGAGTTTAGAGTAAAGGGGGAGGGGCCATCTGAGGTTAGCGTAAAGGGGGAGGGGCCATCTGAGGTTAGAGTAAAGGGGGAGGGGCCATCTGAGGTTAGAGTAAAGGGGGA